AAAAAAAAAAAAAAAAAAAAGAAGTGAGAAATTAGAGGTCATCCAGGCTTTCAAGTCTTTCAAATATGTCTGCAGTTTAACAGTTGATTTGAAGAAAGCATAGGAATGACAGTGTTTTCTATCTATTCCTACATGTAAAAAGAATTGGTCCCAGCACAGAACCCTGTTGAACCCTGTGAACTTTTATGTGTGAAACCTTTTCTATTTATATGCACTAATCAGATAGATATACCAAATGTGTGCTCTAATCTCTGTACTGTTTTAGTCAACAGTATTATATGCTGCACTAACATTTAGCAGGACGAGCACAAAGGGACGTCCACTGCATAAGAATCTGCCCTAGTCCTTTTTCTGTGCTATAGTGCACTCTAAATCCTAAGCAAACAGTACAGCACTTGGTATTCCCAGGTAGTCCTCCATCCCAGTATTAACCAGACTTGACTCGACTTACCTTCTGACAGCTGGTGTGCTAATGGTGGTATGGGCATAAGCTTGATTCCTTTCTCTTAGAAGACTTGTGGTTTGTTCAAGATGCAACTTTGGAAACCTTAGCCTTAGTGCCATGTTCTGTTTAGCGAGAAGAGGTTTTCCTCTGGCAGCTATTCCAAGCAGGCCATACTTGTTCAGTCTTATAATTACACTGTTATGACCTTTAACATTTAAGATGCTAAATGAGTCCTAAATCTTTCACTGTAGAAGAATGAACTTCAAATTATTTGGAAGAGGACATTCCCAGACTGTTGGACGGGGAACAATTGCTTCCCTAAGATCACTGCTAATGTCTTTTCTCTTGGGCATTATATAGTCAAACAAACTCCAAACAGAAAAAATAACTGTCTGAGAAATGTGGTTATAATAAAGTCCCAAAAAACAAAACACTGGAACCTTGAGTACATGTACTGAATAAACTTTATTAATTTTATTCATTTCCAGCTCTGCTAACAGGATGAGAGGTGGAAATGCATTAGAACAACAGTGGAACAACATTATTACAAAATACACCCAGCTGAAAAAGAAAAAAAAACTTTTACATTCAGGTAAATGGAAGTTTGACCTTTTCACTACATGTACAGCTGGACGGATAAAATCATACAGAAAACATAAGAAAATAACATGATTCATACATGTTTCACTTTTATAGACGGGGACAGAGAGTGACTGCAGATGTGCCCTTTTGCTTGGAAGATTGAAAGCCTTTGTGTGGCTGCTGAGCAAAAACAGTACATGACACTTATTAATCTAGCAATTCCACCAGTCTTTGCCCCAATAGCAGACAGAAAAGACAAAAGCTGTGCTATGCAGGAATTATTATTACCCTCATTAAGTAGGTGGAACCTGTTGCTGTTTGTTCATCTGCACAAAAGAAGGTTTGCAGAAAAAAACAAACAAGTTGAACTTCATGAAACTTGGTGGAGAGATGGAATTAAGGGCATTAAGGTTTGACTTTTTAGAAAAATATCTACATTTTTTAAATTATTTATTCCTATTATTACTGAAATAACATGGTTCAGTTTTGGGAAAGAAATCTGATGTCTACATTTTAAAAAAACTACAGAAAATCTCCACAGTAGTTTAAGTCACATCTAAGGAAACCGTCATCTTCCTCAAACTTTAACTAAAGAACTTTTTTGCCTATTGTGACAACTCCTTCCACCCCACCTCCTCCTCCTTTTAAGGGCACTGAACCTTACACTTAACTTACATTATATGATAACCCTGAATTAGATAAGCAGATGAAAATGGATGTTAAAAACAGTATTAGTAACATATGAATATAATTTATTGTAGACGGGCTTGGAAATTAAATGCACTGACAGTTGCATGTTAAAAGCACTGATGTGCAGCAGACCTCCTGTAAAAACCTCAAGGATAACCACAGTCCTGTCATAGGAACAGAGGCCTTTAAACACAACTTAAAAACAGCAACATGGTGACAATGTCAAATTAAAAGAATGTATTCTGACAAACTAAAAGCCTTTGAAATGAAAAGGCACTGATATGGAACGTCTTCCCTTTACATCTGCTGTGGTTTTAAAGGTATAATTCATTTATATATATCAGAAAATACAATTTCAGACATTTATTTAACCATAAAAACCGCATGAGTTACCTTCTCCCACTTATCTTATCTGTTAAAAATCCTCTATAATTTTATCTAATTGTTTTTCAAACCAATAGTTGGAAGTCACTGCTAATTTTGTTGCTGGGTTTTTAGGTTTGGGTTATGTTGTTGAGTGTTTTATGTCTCAGGTGGGATGCAAAAATGTGTTGCGATATCTTATTTTGTTCTGATGTAATCTCATTTGAAATTTGACATTTAAAAAAAAGAAAAGAAGAAAGAAATAACAAGACAACAAACCTATTTCCTGCAAACTGTGTTTCCTGTTTAAAATTTTTCTTTGAATGGTGATGTTAAGACCAGACGCTGAAGTTTTCAGTCTTGCTATTATAAGATCAGAGGTCATGGCTCTCCTCCTGTCCTTTTCATTATACAATGTCAGGAAACAGAATCAATTGAGCACATACTGACAACTGCATTTCAGGACACTGTCTATCCCTGTGAGCAAATTAGCACTGAGCTGCAGACTATGACCTCTGACCTCACTGTGAGGCCTACATGGAGTGGGAATAAAGTTATGTTACAGCTTCTGATTGCAATACATACTATGTCAGCTTTTACTCCCCAGCTTTAGTTTGTTGTGATGCTGCTGGAGCCATTGCGATTGTGTAAAATGTTAGATTTTATTAATTTTTATTTCATTAACTTATTTTTTTTATTTATTTATTTTTTGCATAATGTCATCATCAAGACACATCTTTGGTATTTTTATCTAAAAGCGTTTAAAGACGAAGTTTCCATAGTGCTACAAATGTTTTTAACAGAATAGAGATTTGCTACAGCCTGGACTGCCAGGTGTTTCAGTCAGTTTAGCAGTGTTTTTCTGTGAAGGAGAATAACTGTCATTGTTGTGTAACTGTGAAGACCTTTTAGGATAAAGCCGGAACAGCTTAAAGGATGGGGAAAAATCCAGAAAGATATTATGAACACCAGCAAGTATGCATTTAAACTTGCATCTAAAGTTTTGTGCAAGTGATGTCCTTTGAAATATGTTGCAGTAAAATGAATAAACTGCACCCTAGCACTAACTGTTACCTTCGGATAGTCGGTTTTCAAGGCTAAACATGAATATATGAATATGAACTTGCCGTCCTTCAGAAATTAAAGTGAATGGTGAAACCAGAATTAGGCAAATGTGGCTATATTATACAAGAACTTTGTCACTTTTCTTCTTTAATGCAATTAAATCAGCTGAAATGCTCATTATGTAAAATATTATCAAAATAAAAGTGCTTTGTTTGACTGCTGCCTGAAAATGTCAAGCATTATTAGGCTCTAATGCATCGTCTTAGTGAATGTATCCAACAAAACCTTACCCTTTGACCTTGTGTAGCATTAGGTGGCCCATTTGTTCTCCTGTTTGTTCAACGAGCAGCAGCAGACACGTTCACCTGTGATGGTTCTTTACATTTTTACACCTCTTCTCTGCCCAGTCTCTCTTCAGCAGCTTGCTTGGCGTCCTGTGAGCACTCTAGTCCTCAATATGATTGTACAAGGCATCTGCAGTAGGGTTTTTGCGGTGGGATGGGGGCACCAGGTGGTTGGGGAGCTCAGTGGGCAGCTCGTAACCCTCCAGTTTGATCTTGATGAGATGCTGAGCGAGGGCAAACTCCTCGTCGTCCAGCATGCCATCCTGGTCGCAGTCGGCCAGCTTCCAGATCTTCCCTAGCACAGTGTTGGGCAGCCGAGAGTTCATCATCTCTTTCTTGGCATTGACGCCAGTTATCTTGCCGTTGATAGGCATCAGAGTGTAGAAGATCTCATCGTAACGGTGCTTGTCCCGGCTGACAATCCAATCTTCAGCGTCAGCCCCAGCACTGATCCCCTCACCGTAGCCCTGACCAAAGGGCCCATCCTGGGAGCCCTCAAAGGCACCACCTGACACCATGGCAGGAGGCTGCTTGGCCTCCTCCTCCCGGATCATCGCCATAAGAACAGCAATCTTTGAGGCTAACATTTTATCCACCTTCTCAATCAGCTTCACCTTCAGAGATGGGAACTTACTGAAGTCATAGTGCTGCAGCATGTCCTGGAGGAGAAGAAGAGACACAGGTTAACGTCTGCTAACTACTTTTACAGCTCACACTCAGAGAAACAACTACAACGATGACAGATAATGAAGCCTTTAAAATTGTGGTATATTTTTGGATGAGGTACTTGAACACATTATCATAACATGGTGGCTTGCTCTTTCTGCTCCAGCTTGCAGCTTTCAAAAGGAATGCAAGCTGGACTCTTTTCTGCAAGGCTTTACTATGCACATTTTCTTTTTTTGCCACAAACCTCAACACAAGATTACAGCAAACTGATATTTGCATGTGGGATTAATGTTAGTCACTAAACTTTTGACCCCCTCCCCCGCCAGTCTGCCATTTATTCCAGATTTTATCGATTGCTTAAACACAAATTTCTGAAATTATATCTCATATTGCCAAAACAGTAAACACAAATAATCTCACTCAATTTCCCAAACATAGTATTGTATAATATTGAACAATCTACACTCAAAACCATTCACTCTTGCTGAAAAATCAAACTTTGCCCACAGACAGCACACACAAGGCCTCAAAAACACACACACAACAACATAGTCGTACACATTGGTGCAATAAATGTAAAACAATATTCCCAAAACTGGTAAGTTATGTTGCTTGTGGTTCTTCCCCTCAAAAACCTTTTCACATGATGAACACAAAAAAATGCAACCAATGTATATACAGTGGCACATTTTCATTCATGTACCATACAGTACAACACACACCAAAAACATTAGTCCACCTCAGCATCCTGTCTGTGGTCTGGGTCAGGCCAGGGTCAGGTTCCCTGTAGTGCAGCTGGAACATATGTTGTCTCAGACCATCAAGAAAAGCAAGGAGCTATAGTGTTATAGGGTCCTAGAATGGCATGCTGGTGGAGTATCCCTCGTTGGCTGATGGCTGCGCACAGAGTGACATTCCCTCCATGCTGACCAGGGACATTTACAATAGCCCGATAGCCAATTATGTTCCTCCACCTCCTCCTTGCTGGTGTCCTAGACCTCCTTCTCCTCCTCCTTGACCTCTTCCTATGCATGTCTTTGGATCCATTGTTTCAAACCTGAGTGAGCTGACTTTGGCCCTTTTGACTATCCATCAAAGTTTCTGATTGGTGTGTGATGCATTTTGACTCCTAGTGTTTCCACTTTGTTAACTGTGTGCTGATTGAGCTAAAGCTGTGCTTATGTGAGTTAACATTATTGACTGCTTTCTTGGGGCGTCTGGCGCGTTTTGGTTGCGTCTATCGCGTTCGGTGTGAACACACCGTAAGTGACCACATGGTGTCAGCACTGACAAATGTAGGGATTTGTGTGTAGAGTTTTGCAGTAACAGTCCACCACATCTGACTCATATGGTAAAGCAGGGGCATAGTGTTTATAGTTCAGGGAAATGGGTGTGCTTTTTAGAAAGTGGCATTATGGTTTTGAAATTTGGGTTCAAACTGAGGTTTAGATGTTGTTTACCTTTCTTGTTTTGTGTGCTTATTCCTTGACTTAGTGAGTTTGCTGTCATCAATGTAGTTTATTTTAAATCACCACCCAAAACACTGGGATTCCTTTTGTTTTGAGCATTACACCTGTTGTTGACTATACATAAAAATGGTCAGAGATTCTCACAGTGAAGTAAAGCAGACGAACCTTAAACCTGAATTTGTTTTACTGGCCAGCAGGGGTCACCTGATCTCCTAGTTACAGGGTCGTGCTTCACTTATGGTTGGTAAGTAACTACCATATGAGTAATGGGTTGATTCTTATTTAATGCTTTTCTATACTACTCTTGAGCACTCACAGCAACTTTGGCCAGGATCAAACCACCAACCTTCTGATTAGTAGAGGGCCTGCTCTACCCCCCTGAGCCACAGCCATTCACAGTCCTTTTACATTTTAATGAGATCCAAGCCTCACTAATGATATGTATTTTATTCAGAAGCAAAATAACCACAGCCCAATAAAAAGGCCTAAATGGGCCTTACTAACACGCTGACAGCACGATTGCACATTGGTTGGATTTTCAGAGAGGTAAGTGTGTTTTAGCAATTTTCTGTACAAAAATCTATGAATTTTACACATTTTTGAATGACATGTAAAAGTTTCACTTAACATAATAGGACATTTTTCTGGAATTCTAATTACTAGTACCAAAATATGCCTTCATTTTAATTACTGGTGTCGCTGCTTAAAGAAAGCTATTTGTAAAATAACTACAGGCTCTTTTTCAGGACATCTCACCAGGGAAGTGAAAAATCTCAAACATTTTCTCTGACAATAATCCAATAAAAACAAAGTTTCGCTGAGGGAAACACACACACACACTTGCTGTGCAGCATCTCTCTATCGGCCCAGCAGAGCAGCTGCAGTTCAGTTCATTCTGTCCCAGCAGCTAAAACCTTCCCTGACGTCAGGAAAACAGTTCTTCTTCTTCAGATCACACGTTGTTCCGCATGATGACATGATGCAATGCTATAATCATTTGTTTATCATTTAAATTCAGGTTTTCTTTTACTAAACAACGATTTTCTTGTATTTGCATAAACAGGGACAGGGATTATATTAAACCCAGTGCTCCAGGTCTATCAGCCAGTGTCCAAGAGTGCATTTGCAAACTCTGCCACTCTAAAGGACACATACACTTCAGAATGACAATTCTACCGAGTGGGCAAGAAGTATAGCACTGCTATTCCTATGTGATGCTTCCTATTTGTCAAATTAAAACACAATTTTCTAGAGTCAGGGAAGAATAATTATTTGATCCACTACTGAATTTTTAAATTTGTTCACTTACAAAGAAGTATAAGGAGTCATGTTTTGCTTCAGAATCAAATACTTATTTCACTCAGTGACATGCAAACCAATTCATGACTTTTAAGTAATGCGCTTTTCTTTTCTGTATATTTGCCATTCTGTCTCTCTCCTTTAAAATAAAATTGCTATAAAAAATTAGAAGACTGCTCATTTCTTTGGAAGTGAGCAAACTGTCAAATTCAACAGGGAATTAAATCATTTCTCGTACGGTACGAGCGGCTTCTGTTTCAAGAAACAGTTTTTGTTGTGTTAAAAGTGAGTAACAGACTTTATCTGGGTTGAGTAAAAATATTCTCAGGATATCCAGGTCCAAAATATATGTGTGTGTGTGTGTGTGTGTGTGTGTGTGTGTGTGTGTGTGTGTGTGTGTGTGTGTGTGTGTGTGTGTGTGTGTGTTTTAATAACCAGCAGGAGATGACTCCTGTCTAATTGCACAGAGGTCTTTGGGAACTGCTGGCTACTGTGTTGGCTTTTACGTACCTGCATCTTAGTGACATTGGGGAAGTCTCCAGGGCTGATGTGGTGCTCTCTCTGTAGGACGGTGTAGATCTCCGGGAGTCTCTGGATCAGTTCGTCCTTCTTCTTTTCCCGTCCAAACAGAGATGGCATCTCTTTCTTCAGGTAGCTGATAATGTAGGCATGCACCTGCAAGCAGGAAAGCAATGGAGATCATAAGCATTTTAAAATGCCGTGGAGGGGACACAGATCTAAATTCTGTGCCTTAAAACTTAAAGTTTCTTTTAATGGCAGCTTTGGCAACTTTTTTCCTTTGAGACATTTGAGATTGCATTGAAAGAAGAGGAATGAAACTAAAAGTGTTGCATCAGAAAGCTGATTGAAACTGATCACAAAAGTTCATTCAGCTCATTAAATCTTAAAAAAAGCCAAAATTCAGGACAAGTGAGGAAGCAAACAGAGAAGAAGTCTGAGTACATGGCAACGCTTAACTGAGACAAAACCGAAGTTATTTATGACTGATCCCCTTTAACTCTTCTGTGTTACCAGTGTAACACACAGCACGGCACAGAAGACACTACCCTGATAGTTCCTCAAAAGGAAAAGGTCACAGCCCTCCCGCTGCCAGAGCTCCGTTCAATAACAGCACTGTTTACACAGAGTTTCCTTAATCACACCTCCAACACAGGAAGTCTGCTATCTGGGCTACAGGTTACCATGGAGGGCAAGGAAGCTCATACTCTCATGTGTTTAGGTTAATAAAATGAGATTTGAAAATTCAAACAATCAGAAATTGTGAGATGACATCTCACAAATTTAACTTTAATCATTTGTATTTAAGTAAAGAAAAAAAATAATTCTTGGCACAAATAATCTTTACATGGAACAACCACAACGTCGACATTTTGTCAACATAAAAACAAAGAATATTTCACAAAATATTCTTTGTTTAAATCTTTAAATATGATTTTATTATGGAATGAAATGGATAATGCAGAAATCTCAGGCTGTTTCCTCTTGCTGGAATAAAAATATAGCTTGAAGTCTGGGTGTTGAGACTCTGGATGAGAGAGAAACAGGAAACTATGAGATGCTGGGTCAGAGGGGAACTGATGGTGACTGATGGATTAGAAGAGGAGAAGAAACAGGAGGAGAAAGGAGGAATGTAGGAGTGCAGGAGGATCATCGGTTACACAGGCAAAGGCATAATGATGGTGGAAGGAAGGGAGGAGTAACACAGTGAGGGAATGAGGTCATTGGATTTCTGAGGGCAAAGTGCCAGAGTACATGAGTGCCATTTATTAAAAGTTACAGAGGAAGGAAAAACAAAACTAAAAAGACTCCTTGGCATGTTTCTGGGTGCTGAACATAACTACATGTGTGAGAAAACAGCTTAGATTCATTTCATTTTCAAATGTACAAAAAAAAACCCAAACACAAAACTGTCATTTGTAACTGTAACAAAAACATCTACAAATCCCATTATTTCCTTTGCATCAGTGGCTTAACGTTATCACACCACAAACATCACATCGCAGTGTTTCCACTAGAAAGCACTTGTCATATGTTAGTAGAGTGCAGCCAAATCCTTTGTTTAGCTGATAATTGAAATATGCACCATAACAAAGTTGCTAAACCTCACAGGATTGTGTCATTTCAAGAACTTTTGCAGCTAAACACACATCTGTGCTTGGTGTGGATCGCTCACTCAGGACAGATTCCAGCTCACTGTATAACAACACAACAGACCTGATACAGCTGCTGGATGTGCCTCACTATTAAGTTTTCACAGCAGCCTTTGCAATTTCCCACATAAAAAAAAGAAGCAACCACGGAGGAAGAGGCTGTGACTTCACACTGAATCTCCTGAGATGATAGACGATCAAATCAACTTGAGCGTCATTGTACAACATTACGAAACATTACAGAGATTAATAATATTAATATGATTGATGTTATTAACCTGCTTCTCTTTGCTTGCTCAAAAATATAGTGGTACCTGAAGTACTTGATCTTTGTTATACTTCAAATATAATAACATTTTACATGCTCTCAAACTTCGTTCTATGTGGTGTACGCTAGAAGGCTTTTTACAAAATAAAAGCCCTTTGTTTCTTATATGCTTCTACCAGGCTGGACAAGTGTTCCAAATACTGAGCTGAGCATATGCCCTGTATCCCCCCACTATGGTGACCATAAGCAAAAATGCAGCTCGGTTAAAGTTAAAGTTAAACTGTTAACTGTTTGATAGCTCTACATTATTATAACCAAATAAACAATAAGGCCCTGATTTAATTTTTTTAAAGCTCATTTTATTTATTTATTGGTCAGACCTGCTCATATCAAATTATAAGTCTGAAACATTAAAACACACCAAGTAACAAATTAACTGCAGTTACATTGTTGTTACATCAATTATTGAGCTGAATTACAGTTTTCCTTTCTTTATTTACTTAACGTAGGACTACTTTGAAAATTATAGGACTCCTCTGGCTGTATACATAAATACAACCATGTTCTTATTAGCAAGAATATTTCCCTAGAAATACAATTAAATTATATCTAAAAAAAAGACCCACACCAGCACAGTGATGGCAAAATATAAGCCCTGCATAATATGTGTGACTAAAGCATGTTTTCTATCTCATTTAGTTCTTTAAAATATATTAAAAACTCTTCTAAATTGAATTCATGTGGTTGTTGTAAGCTTGGTTTCAGGATTAGGGTCTGATTCAGGCTTTATTTCCACATCAGTGTTAAAATGAAATACCACTTCTGTTTCCTGTTTCCCCAGAATAAAAAACATCTATGTTTCGATTCTTCATTTGAAAGGCTGAAACAACAGCTGACATCATTAGAAACCATTTTCTCACAAGGATACCTCCATTAAACATAGATTTAGCCAGTTGGAAACACTATCCCAGTGATCCTCAGTCAAATATTCCACAGTATTCCTAGAATTCCTCAAAGTCTAGAATTCCTGAAAGTTAACTCAAACCACAACGTGTGACTTCCTGTCTCACCTTGGCCAACCTCGCCCTCTTGATCAAGTCGTTGAGTTTACGGAGAGCAGCATTCCTGGGAAGACTCTGGATGTCCCGGAACAGGTCCTGAGACTCTGCCTCGAACAGACGCCTGACAAGTACCAGGAATGAATCAATGAATGAATGAAGTAAGACGCGTATATGGAGAAAGAAATCCTACTCTAACAAGCAAATGAGTAAACACACGAACAAATGGATGGATGGATGAAACAATACATACATCATGGAGAAAGGTTAATAACTAAATTAGATTATTTTATGAACATACGAATAACAGTTTTCTTCATTCTTACAACCATCTATCATACTATATTTTTATAGTATATTTATTTTTTCACTCAATTCCACTTGTGCAATCAATTCTTTTGAGAAAGCAATAATCAATTTTAATTGCAGCACCTGTTCTACATGTTTTAATGTGTAAACACATGAACTGTGTACATGCTGTGTAGCTCCAAGCTTAGTTTTTCAATTCCATCCAAAATTTGTCTTTAGATTAGAAGGGTGGGGGGTGGGAACTAAAACAAATTGCTTCAGTCAGAGGATGAAATTGATGGGTTGGTTTGGAATTATGAATCATAGTTAAGAGGTTCTCATGTCTAACTTCATTAAAAAAGAACATTAAGGGAAGACAGATAAGCATCATTCCCTGCGAACAAACAGACAAAGTAACGTATCTCACCTGTTCTCTGTGTTTTGCAGCGGTTTGGCCCAGAAGGACCCGAGATAAACTCTCACCACCTCTGGAGTGTTGATCACCTTCCCCAGTGACCACATGAGGGCGCCATACACCCGCATGAGCTGTTGGGTGTCCACCTAATCGAACAGGTGAGGAGGAGGAGCTTAAGGTTAGACTGACACAGGTGAGCAGAGTTTAATTTCATGTTAGATTTGTTCAGCTTCTCCTACCTGGTCTGCCTTGTTGAGGACGACTCGGATCTTGTCGTCTTGACCCTTGAAAGCTTTGATGGCCTCTGAAAACTCATCTGAGATGTCCAGCTTGTGTGCATCAAAGAGGAGAATGATCCGGTCCACTCGCTCTCCAAACCAACGCAGGACCTCAGCAAAGTCATAACCTGGCAACAGGGAGACAAACAAAAGGATCAGTCTAGTTCCCATTTCTAGATCATTTCTGGAAAATGAACACTTAGCATAACAAAGTCTAATAATTTTGACTGATGAGAAAGAAAATTACATTTGGCTTGAGGTGTAATTTGTGCACCTCAAGCCAAATTTCATCAGCATTTCTTTTTTGGCTTTGTGTTAAGTTTAAATACCATGGATGATATCTAATGGTTGTAAATGTAAGGAGGGTTTGGTAACAAGTGGCTACCAAATGTTTCTGCTGAAGTTGAAGACATGCAAGGATGGTGCAATGTATTTATACTCATAATAATCCTGTTAGTTTTTTGGAACCAAGTTAATGCTAACTTCAGAGTGGGTCTCCAAAAAACTGTCATCCCCACAGAGCTCTAAGAAGGAACTCAAAGTTCCTTTTTGTGTGTGCGTGTGTGTGTGTGTGTGGACTGGTAAGCTTGAGTGGCGTTCCTTCAGGGCAAGCAAGGTAAGCGTACCTGTCATCAAGCTGGATTTGCACGTATGCAGACTTACAAAGAAATGAAGTCTTTAATTTTTATGTTACTTTAATTTTAATAGAGATAGACAGGATATCAACTAAAACTCCAGAAAAAAAACAATACACAAAGTGGATATGCACACTATTGAGTGGAACAGGAATTTGATCCCCTACAACCCAGCAATAATTCTGGTTTACAGAGATTAGAATCAACCAGTCAATGAATTAATGAATGAATCAATCAATCAATCAGTCAATCTGATACTCCCGACCCTGAACCATAAGACTATGCTTGGGAGAAAGCGCTGTGGTCAGATGAAACCAAAACCAAGCTCTTTGCCATCAAATGAGGCAGAGTATGACACAAAGGACACCATCCCCACAGTCAAGCATGTTTCAAGTGGAAACAATATGCTTTGGGGCTGTTTTTCTACTAAGGCTACAGAGATGACTCCACCACACTGACGTACCAATGGATGGGGTTGTGCACCGTAAAATCTCGGGCAGAAGATGGGTCCTAAAGATGGGTCATGAATGGGTCTTCCAGCATGACCATGACCCAAAAAAATACTGACAAGGCAACAAAGGAGATGTACATTATGGTTAGGGATGGGTACCGGTTATGGCACCGGTTCTGACATAAACGGTAGTAACCAGACCGAAAACGGTGCTTTATTTCGGTGCTTTTTTTTCCTGAGATGTCATACACTTTGAATTCTAGCCAATCATTTTACGTTTCCGAGGATAGTAGGCGGGTCCAGGTACGTACGTTCTTTTAGAGCAGAGCTACAGATTAAAAATGCCCAAGGCGAAGCGGTCAAAAGTCTGGCTGTACTTCATAAAGATGCAAACTCAGCAGCCTGCAACAAGTGCTTTAAGCTGATACTGTGATACTGTCAAAGGAGGTAACACCTCAAATCCGAAGAAAAACCTGGCGACGCATAGCGTTTTTTTAAAAGCCGAGAAATGCGCCGTATTTGATAGCTTGCTGTGAGACCTCGCACCGAGCGCATCTACGGACGGCGCTCTTCAAGTTGCCAAACAATAGCCAAGAAACCTGAAGGATTTAGAGAGTTTCTGTAAAGAGTGGGCAAAAATCCTGCCTGAGATTTCTTCAAGTCTAGTGACTAAGTACAAGAAACTTCTTACTGTTGCGATTACAAACAAGGGTTTCTCCACCAAGTTGTCGACTAAGTCATGTTTTGCTTGGGGATCTAATATTATTTCACTCAATGACATGCAACTTAGTATAAAACTTTTATGTAATGTATTTTTTCTGAATCTTGGGTTGATATTCTGTCTCTGTCTATTTAAATGAAACCACCATAAAATTTAGAGAGTACTAATTTCTTTCTAAATTTCCTTCTAAAACTTACAAATTCAGCACGAGATCAAATAATTATTTCCCTCACTTCAGCATACAGTAGTCCCGATGTAGGTATATTCATAGTGAATTTAACAGCCACAAAACAGTTCTGTTTCTCTCTGGCTCTCTCTCTCTCTCTCTCTCTCTCTCTGTGTGTGTGTGTGTGTGTGTGTGTAAAGTGATATATAGCAATTTGGGTGTGGTTCATCTGAAACTGGGTGACACTGACCTCACTTTTGAAAACTCAAGAGCTTTTATACTCAAACAGGAAGATTGCTGCAGCAGAAGGAAATGTTTCTACTCCTGCTTACATATCTGACTAAATTCTACTTGTCTTTACTGGGTAAATGGGCTGGTATCCAGCACTTCTCTCCTTTTGCTGTGTACTCAGTGCTTCTGCACTAGAAACCATATAAACCCTTCACAAAGATATTTATACAGCATTTTAACTTGAGTTACTTTGTATCTACGGATAGATGCATTGGGGTTAAAATAGTTACCCTCAGTTGAAGGGACAAAAAATAATTTTGATCTTCTCTTTGTCCTGCCTTGCTTGTCAATCATTTCTGCGCAGTGATGCCTCAAATCAGCAAGTATAAAAAAGTAAAATGCCCTAATGGTAACAATAATAATTATAATAATAATAATAATAATAATTATTGAGGAGCAGCTGAAGCTGAGCAGAAGGTATATGAAGGAGTGTAAGGGTGAAGGAGGTCTGAAACATAAGGAGGACTCTTGTTGCAGAGTTCTGCACCATCTACACCCGACAGAAGA